GGGTTCTGCGTGTGGCGAGCCACGGGGCAGAAACCGTTGGAATGTTTACTGCCACGTGCCGCTACAAATATTTCTTTTAAGGAGAGCTATAGGATTACTCAATGCCTTTATTAGACGGAGGGTTCGTCCTGTTGACCGCGGCTACGTTCGGCGACTAATTGTCGTCTTGAGCCCAAGCTCATTGTCACAAATCTCAAACAAATACAATTGGGTAGAATGACGGCAAATCGTTTAATTACAACTGTGGATTTTAATTACAATATTTTTATGGGTTTTCCCGAGGTTTCAGAGGGAAGGCACCGGTGTCCTCTTATCTCCGACATACATAATGTAATAATAAACCAACTCTGAGCAAAACAATGTCGCCGCTACGTGTAAACATCAAACAAAGACGAATGGAAACTTACCGGTATCCCCTCGACCAGTATAATTAAACAAACACGATCGTAAGGTGATCAGTTTTATCCGTCTCCGTCTTGAGCGATTTTATTAACGATTAACACACAGTGTTTAGCTCAGTTAGTATCGCGCGTTTTAGTGAACATTCTTTTAACGAGCAGTATCGAGCAATCTACGGTTGTCTCTGCATTTATAATTATTTTAAAATATATTTGTCGGTTTCAATATCGAGTAATCTCATCATTAAACGACCACACGACCAACTATCCTCTACAAATGTATCCGGAATGCGTTCGGAAAAAAGGCCTACGTGACCATGGCCACGGACGGTGGCGGAACGTACGTGGTGAGACTATGAGAAAAGACAAAGGGATGCATAAGGGAAAAAGACGAATTAGCAGCCAGTGTGAGTTGAGAAGTCAGAGAGTGTGAATTGAGAAGTCAGAGAATGTTGTTAACGTTGTCGAGGAGTGTGGTCTGCGTGAAAGAGAGCGTTGGAACCGTGGAGACGAGAGTTGTAAATTAACTATTTAGTTGCTTAGTTTATAGCACATTACTGTATTTAGGTCGCGTTAAATAACCATCGATTCCTGTCTACTCCATTTTAAATAATATAAATAAAATCCTACATTAGGTTTATCTTATTTACCTCGTGCGTCCAGTTGAGACTTGATTGCGGTTATCTCTCTATCATATATGCAAATTCCTTTCTCAATTAATCATTATCGTGAGGATGCACATAATGCAACTTGCGTCACCATACGCTCATTCTGTGATATTTTCTGTGATTATATCCTGTGATTATTATATAAATTAAATATTGTGAATTTTTTCATCAAGCGTTTATGTGATTTTCTGATGTTCGAACTTAATTTATTTAGTGCGGTGCATCTTGAGTATTGCGCTCACTTTGATTTCTTGCTCGATCATTTATTTCATAATACACCCTGTTTCTATGGAAAGTTAATATTTTTGACGCTTAAAGTGAAGCGTCATTTAATGTGATTGTCCCAACGTGGCACACCATAACTTGTACGTTCGTTTTAACATTTCACACATACGCCTTGAAGCTTTATTCTTTATTTATTAAAATTTATAGTGATTTAGTGAAGCGACGCGATCTAACCGTCATTTTAGCAGTTCACCGGAATGTCATAAACCTCAATTCTTTACTTATTAAAATCAATAGTATTTTCCATGAATTGGCATTATGTGATTTTCTTAATATTGCACGCTCGTTTTATTTTCACATGATCGTTTGTTTTTTCCAATTTAATAATTTAATTTGGAAATCGTTCTTTCCTATTTGTGCAATTATTTTGATAAATTACTATTTTATATTACATTTCATAGCTTATCGTGATTATAATCTGTCGTACGTCATCCGATCGTTTCGCGTGTGATCTACGCTCCACGTTCGTTTTACAACATGTTCTCTTAATAAACATTGTTGGTTTAAATGTTAGTGTTTTATTATTATTTATCGTTGTTCGTTATTAATATTCTAATTTGTTGCTACTAATTATTTATTAATTATTACTATGTTTCAGTTGCATGTCATGATGCGTCGATGCCCTGACGTTTTATGTAAGTAAATAAAATTTTATTATTGCAATTATTCTTGCAAAATCAACGAAATGCACCATGGATATTCATTTGTTACAATTAATTTAACTTCACGTGTTACTTTCATTTTCGGGTGTCGCTACAAAATTTTGTTATTTGGATTCTTGATTTTATTATTTTAATCTAGAGTCATATCATTTGACTTGTATAACATACATGAGGTGGTATTTGGTGTAAGATGTCCAAGAAATAATCGGCGGTGTTCAACAATATAATTTATTTGACAATCAACGATCGTCGATTACCACTGACATTCTCGCTTCTTGCCATGACCATGCTTGTGTCACGACCGGCTCAGTTCAAAATCGAAGATAAAGATGTGGCGGCAATCGGCAACAATATATATGTCGGAGATGAAAGAACACCGGAGCCTTTGGAATTTTGGATAATCCCGCAACATTGTAATCTAGAGTCTACTATAGCTGTAATTAAACAATTGTAGTTATTCAATACGATTGTAATTGACGATTGTAATTGTTCGAGAGTTGTGA